GTTACCTCGACCAATGCACTGCATCAAAAACCAAAGTAAAACGGTACCAGCGTGCGGCGACGGCCCATGACCAACATAGATTTCATGCATCTACCACATGCAGAGTGCCTGCAGGGCCGTGCTGACCTCTGCATCAGATGCTGCCTGCCCAGCGTATCCAACACGACCCCATGCACGACTTGCAAGATACCATCAAGTAGTAAAGCAAAGTCACTAGCCTGTGTGTCGGCCAGCCTCAGATGCTAGCCACACAAGCATGTTCTCACAAAATGGGCACAGGGATCCAACTGTCACAGAGATGGCGGGGGGGTTGTGAGCAGAAGCTCCAGCTTCGGAAACAGGATACCAAAGGGCTGGACTTTCATCTACACTATGTCATGCTATGTCTGTCGTCTGTGGCAGGGGCAGAGTGGTGAAGAAAACAGCAGTCTCCGGATCAACCAAGGGCACCTTCTCTCAGTGCACACCGCATGCTGGCGAGGGTTTTGTTGGCGGAGCCTGACTCGCAATGTCTGCGATGGCCTGCAGTCCGGGAGGACTCACGGAGATGTCAACGGAAGCTTGCCTCAAGCCGAAGGTCATGAACAACGCACACGTGGGTTCCTTGTCGCCCGTCTGCTGAGTTTTGAACGCGGTTGCTCCGCGCGAGCTTCTGACGGTGCCAACCTGCAGTAGCAGCGGGAGTTGAACGGGAACAGCACCGCAGGAACGACGCTGCCGCAGTGTTGGTACGGACTTAGCTCTTTGCAACTCTCAACAGATTTTGGCTGCCGACGAGGCCCTCTGGAAGCCTGCTCACAGTCACGAAGCTTGCAATGCTCTGCAACCACGATTAGGGCCGTCAGCCTGGTTTGGATGAAATTCTGCTCCGTATACATGATGTTCAGTTCCACCGCTTCAGCCTGTCGTTCACTTTGGCTGTGCCACACAGCACCCCTCGAGTCTCCAAAGGAGCTGCTAGGCAGCAGGAGTCCACGAGCAAATCGTCAGGACTTGTAAAGAACACTGGTAGTCTTTCCAAAACATCACAAGTCCCACGAAACCGAAAGCAAACCCCCGACCCCCTCTTACCCATGATGCACTCGCCCGCCTTCTGCACCCCTCTCCCCAGTTCTACCTCTATCCCCATGCCCTGTTTCCAGCCGTTCTTCCCCAGCCCGTCCCGGAATCCCTTCCACACTGCTAAAACACATGCGGGTTACCAACACCCATGCTCGCAGAGGCTCGCAGACCCTTTACGAACGCTCGCGCATCTTGCGCATACCAATGAAATTCAAAGGCTTCCGATTCACTACAACCAGCACCTCAAGCACCGGGAAAGTCACATTGGCAGTTGCTGAGCTGCCAACAAAAGGCATCTGGTAGTCCTGGATGTAGCTGAAGCGGTATGTCCTGCACATTCCTTCTGCTGCATGTGATTGTCGACATGGGGGCAGCTCTGAGGCGGAGGCAAAGGCAAATCCTCACTTCCAAAGCCATCCATGGTGAAGACAAATTCCTTGCCGCAACCAATTTGGGGCTTTGATGGGAACATGCCACGTGCGGCTAAGAGTTGCACAGTCTGAAGCGCCGTGCCAGAGATATTGGAGGCCTCAGGATTTGTCTCTGGCTGGGTAGCGGCATAGAATGGAAATGGAATCGTTTTAGAGCAAGAGCTGCGACAAAAGCACTGGGTGCCATGCAATGAGCACACCGCCGGATGGTGGAAGACCTAGCATTAGCAAGATTTGTCACAGTGCCTGTTGCATACAAGATCTGGCAAGCTGGCGGAAAAATAGTCAGTAAATCCTCAGGTCTACATGAGGCTTAGAAAGCCAGGACGTGTCGAGCCTGCGCAAATGAAGGTGTACTCCGCAAAGCCTAAGTAGTCCTGTAGATCAAATGGGCTTCAGTGGCTGGAGACAAGGCATATGTCAGATCTATGGTTCAAAAAAAAAGTCCTCAATGCCCTGCGACTGCATGTAGGCATCGAGCGCCTGGCAGGCGCCGCTTGCCACAGCAGCCACGATGTATGTGGTGCGGCCACCGCTATATGCGCCGCTTGTGTTCACCACATACATAGTGCTTCAATATCCGGTAAGCTAGAGCATTTGCAGGAAGGCGCAACGAGTTGCTAGAAGCCAACGTGCCACAGCTGCTGAGATCCGCATCTTGTAGCGCCTGGTCTCTCTTGACATGCTCTGCTAGCAAGGCAAGTCACTGTCGCACCAGGCTGCCAAGCAACAACCCAGCGATGAGGACATTGGGTGACACTACAAGGTAGTTCGAACCTGGAGGCGTGCGTACCTTGGTCAAAGGATGTGCTGGAAATCAGAGCTCAGCAATGATGAGAGCTGTCGGCAGGGCAGCAAAGGCAAGCTAGGAATCCAAGCAAAGCTTGATGATGGAAACATCCGCCCATTTTCAACCCCATGTTGTCCGTGCTCGCTCCGCCTGTTTGTTCCATATTTCAGAATTTCATCTTCAGCTTGCCTGGCAGTGCGCAGCCTGCACACGCAGTTAGCTCATACCCCCCTACACATTTCGACGCCACGTCTGGACCTTCCACGACCAACACCAAGCCAAATTGTGGTCATGAACTTGAGTAGTTCGTGTCAGCACGAGCTCCAACGACTAACACTAACAAGATTAGCCCTGCATTTTTTTGCGAGACTGGACAAAAGATGAAGATGAACAAAGTACGCAAGCAAAATGAACCACCGCCAGCCCTGAATCGAACAGGCTTGGCATCTTCAAGAGCAGGAATCAACCCGACCCGACCAACTCTCTGCCACACAGTTACCTCTGCTGGATCACTGGCATTGAAATCCACTGGTGACAATGGCACCTCATTTCGTTCAGGTGGCCAGAAAGTGATGCCGCAGAACTGCAGAACGTCAAAGCCGCTAAGAGCTGTGCCCAAGCATACTGTGGAACCGAATAGGTTGGATCAAATGAAACAGCTTCGGCATCATAGGCAGGATTGAGACCATATCGATATGCCTGCCAGTCAATCCGCAAACAATCTGAGGGCAGAGGATGTGCCCATGTCACGAGCGCAACATAGCAAACCAGGGGCCCAACGGTCCACACGAAGGAATAAGTAGTGTCATTGCGAGGATTTGTGATCTGACGGAGCCCAGCAAGCAATCCAAGCATTGCAGCACACAACACGTGACATTGACAAACGGCCTCACCACGCAATCGAAGCGTAGATCCAGCAAAAATTGGCTGAGGACCTCAAACATTGATGAGCTAGCCTCCAGCTCACTTCAAGCATTGCAGGCTTTAGGTCTAAGATCTGGGAATGTCTGCCGAGCAGATAGTTGCAGCATGTTGCAGCATTAGCCTCGCAACATAAGATCCACACTTTCCAGGAACACAGCAACCAGCGGCGTCCTGAACTTTTACAGGATAAGCAGCCGCAGCAATCACTGTATTACGCGTCACAATCAGCAAGTGGTCGCGGCTGGCCTCTCTGGGTCAACTTCTGTGGACGCCTGCACTTGAATGTACAAACCTCAGCAAAACAGGAAAGGCCGCATGCGGAACGCCTGCATCGCGGCGCATCGCATCTTGACCCAGCAGCTATTCATCTCAGTCCCAGACTGCCCGAATTTACTCTTTCAGCTCCCATGACGACCTTTGATGCGTTGACGACCTCATCTGCCAGTGCTTGAGGCGCTGTCATAACAAGTCCACATCGGGCCTGATGTTCCCAAGGCCAAGTACCGCACAAAGATGTAAGAGCCAGTTGCGAAAAGGTTTGGCTGGAAAATCTGCCAAAATCTGTGTCAGCTGCGTGCTCTGCCATACTTGCTAGCACTTCGGCACTTGGCCAGCAAATCGAGTCGGACCGGCGAAGGTCGTAGAACCACTTTTGCAGTACTGCACGACCTAGAACACCAAAACCAAGGATGCATGATATGGACAATATCTTGGTTGAGACGCTACAGCGCAGCTGAGACTGCTCTGAAGCAGCTACATTCGAATATGGAGGAAGGCTGATGCCATCAGCTTGATTGTAGTCCTGGCTAAGGCAAGGCGTTTTCAGGCAACAACTGCAATCGCAACAGCACCCACCGTCTCTAAGGGTGCCCTAAGATCAGCTGAAGGGAGATAAGGCCTTGCTGCGGTATGTGAACTTCATCGATTGGCCCGGTGAGAGCGGGTCTTGCACATCCACACACGCATCACCCGCCTGCAGATGGACATGTGGAAGTCAAAGTGTCAACTGTCTGACTGTCATGGAGCATGATTTGGACTGAGTGTTGTGCCAGCTGCACCGAACCCTGTGCATTTCAAAAAGTGCGTGTTTTCTTCAACACTGGACACAGTCTCTGCCTGCGATGCAAAGCAAGGTTCCAGCGTGCCTCAACTGTTGGCTGGATTCAAACCGCTTTGAGGGCCGTTTGCACTGACCGGAACAGGTATGAGCTGCAAACACTCACCGCTTGCCATTTTGGCCTTCCCTGTCTGACTTTGAGCTGCACGACCTCCCCTCTACAGTGATTAGAGGTCAAGTCATTGCCAGACCCTAGAATATTCTTCGCGTGGAGTGGGTGGACAGTGCTATAACAATGAGGATCAACCTTCTGGCCATGTCCTGAAACAGCAGCACTGCTACGTGAGTCAACGCAATTGTGTCGATCTCTCCCAGCGCTAAGAGCACCAACAGAGGGGGCAACATATGACTCCAGCAGCACTCACTAACTACCCAATGCCTGCTGCCCACTTGTAATCTCAGCTCAGTGATTGCAGGTGCGCATGGCATCCGCCAGCAGTGCAGCCCAGCATAGCAAGAGCATGGAGAGATGTGGTCCAATTGCCCATGCACGATGTCATGCTTGCCGGCTAGGCATACACAGATGCATGATCCTGTGGATTTCATGCGTCTGGCGATTCAAGTTGTCAGATGGATCAAGCGCATCTCCTCAAAGGTCCGGCTTTTACGCGGCCTGCTCCATGAGGGACATGGGCACTGCTGAGCTAAGCATGTGAAGCTTCGGGGCGCCTTTGCATCACATGCCGGGGGCAGCTGCAGCCACTGATGGCTTAAGAACCTCAGGAATCGTTTAGACCATCAGTCACACATGCCAGGGGCCTGTGACACAGGGGATTCTGCAAGCTAGCTGATAGGGTGAGCAATAGAGGCGCCGGCTGAGAAGGCGCAGGTGAGATCCTCGTCGATGGAGAGCACCTTTTCACAAAACAAGCGTTGCGGAAAGGAGCATGGTCAGCGGTATTATTGGCAGACATGGCGCAGCAGCTGCGTTGTCGAACTCTCCACAATAATTTGGTGCAGAGAATATGGTCACCTTTGCTTGCTTCTTTCGGTCAGCTGTGTTCATCGGCTAAACTTTTGCAAGCTAACAAAGCGTCTCTACGCCGTTTGCTTGGCCTCACTTCACTACGTTCGCAGTTCTGCGGGGAATGTACTCAAAGGCAGGGCATGCAGGCGAGGCTCTAATCCTCTCTCTGAGAAGAACTCATACCCATCCTCTACCACCTTTCAGGAAGACACAGAATTTGTTGCATGTGTGTTCCATGACCTTCCCCAAAGAGGTGGCGATTACACTTACGAGCAGCTAATGGGACAAACGCCTTGCAACACTCAGAAAATAAAATTCCCAGACCCTGTCAGAATGCGAGCATCCTGAAAAGCGTCTTCAACGGAAGGCATCTGAAACATCCTCAAACTTTGCGCACGATCTGGGAGTGCACATCGAGCATCCAGGACGGACAGGACCAATTGAACTCCACAAACATCAAGAAGTTTCCAGCCAGATCTAATTTGGGAACATCTAGGTCCTCAGGCCTGGATTCCTGGATGGTGAGATGTTTCACGTTCACTCACCAGGTTCAGACCTCTTTAGCGCGTTCCCTGGCCTCTGCCTGGATCAGACCGACGGAGACTCACTTTGGTGTCCTCAACCGGACCAACTTGACGGATGCGACCGTTGCAGCGAGAGTGTTACTTTACCCGTGGCTGACATTTGTGGGAAGCCAAGCTGACAGATAGCTTGCGGCTTACCACTCAGGAGCTGGAGTGCTGGGAGTTCCTCTGCATTCCGAAGACGCGCCCCTGACCCAGTGAGGTTGATCTATCGTTGGTCTGGTTGTCATGGTTCAGTTGAAATTCCATCTTTGCAAGCACGGAGCATGATTTGTGGCAGGGTCCAGGTCAGCAGCGACAGGTTGGATCTGAACAATTTCCAACCATTGGACACTCCGATCGAGACAAATCGACGCATGTCCACGTCAAAGGGATCAGCCAGGCTGTGCTCGGTGACGACTCCAAATGCGGAAGCCGCCATGTCGTATTCTGTAATGCATGGCTGATCGCCGGCTCTCTTCCGTAGCCTCATGCAATGTGGCAACCTTGCAGCTTCTCCTGCCACATGGCCGCACAAGGCCCAGAGCTTTCCAAGAGATCGCCAACACCTAAGTGGTGCTGTAAATTCAGCGAACCTCACCGGTAGATGATGTCTACACTGTGTGAGACCTGTACAAGACTGCACAAGCGTGTAGCGCTGAAGTCTGCCAGATGGAAATGGGTGCCCTGGGCTGTGCACATTACGAAACCCGAGCCCGGTTGGCACTGTGTCCAGCGTGTTCGGTTGCCAAAAAAACGTTGTCCCCTACTCTGCAGCTAAGCAAGAATGGAGGCGTGTTTGTTGCTTCAAAGTACCCTGCAAGCTGATCTTTTCTTGGCCACATGAGTAGATGCGCGGAGGGCATGCAAGACATGCTGAGCTCTTCCACCGCAGCACAACTGATGCAACAGTTGGTCGGGAGAATTCAGAAATACCCTGATAGTCTCATAGCCAAGCCTTGAGCAGACCTTCAAAACCCTGTCAGGAACGCAACAGGACCAATCCGTACAAAAGCATCCCAGACCTCAGAGACATAGCCGCGTCCCCAACACAAGGACCAATTCGGAGCAAGGTGAAAGTGCGCCATCAGGGGAGCGGGGCGCGTCCCCACATTCAAACACTGAGAGCGCCGGTCCCTGAAGCGAGCGGGTGCGTTGGTGCTGAAAAGCGCTCGTTCCTGTGGCCGCGTGCTTGACATTTCAACCAAGTCTCTGGAACCCACATATCTTGGAGATATCTCTAGCGATCCACTTTTGGGTAGGCGTATAAAAACCCTCCGGAGCTTTGAAGCTGGACTAACAATAACCCTCTCACCAAGCATGCTTGTATCCGGGGTGGAGCGCACATTTTCTGAACAAAAGGCTCCCTGCCTGATGCGCTCTGACTATCCTTAGCTGTTCAGCAAGCATCTAGAAACTGCTGCAGGGCAGCTTCCGACTAGGTCTGCAACCAAGGCGCAAGTCGAGATCATGGTTTCTGAGGAATGTCTGGACAATCTGTGCGCCAAACGAGACTGACACACCCCGGTCATTCTGGCCAAAGCCTGTAGTGGCCTGCCACATCTCTGCCACTTGGCAAGCACGCCGACACAAACAGGAGTTCTCATCAAACCAGCACTTTGCCTCTGAAGGATCCGACCACAGAAGGTCGCACAGAAATCCAGAGTCCGGAATGTCTGCCGGCCTCGGGCTCCAGTCTGCCCACCATAGATTCTAGATGCCGCAAGCAGAACCGGCTGCCACTGCAAAGCACAGCATGACATGAACCCCATAGAAGTATTAGAGCACAGTGGTATGGATACACGGTCCCGCCTTGAAATCTCATTGATTTTGCGTCTTAAGTCAACGCTGCTGTCCATCATCTCTTGGGACAAACCACCATGCATGCAAATCACCTGCATGAACAGACTGTGACGTCGAGGCGGGAAAGGGCCGAGCGTTTCTCAAAACACCTGCTCTGTAGCATCCACCCGTCCTTGTCTGCGATTATCGCACAGGCGGGCATGTAGTTGAACACGTCGCCTTGGATGCACTGCTCACTGTTCGGCTTCGGCCGAGGACATCGAAGACGCTCTCATGGACCACAGGCCAGGCTGCAGAAACCTTTCCAAATCTTCGTGTTAAACCGAGACTTCACTTCGTCGTAGAAACCATAGATCCTGCAGGCGCACATATGAGACGCAATCGTTAACTTTACGCACGCAGTTTGTCCTGCAGATCGAGGGTGACTCATGGTTGCCACGCAGCAGAAAGAAGTTCTCCGGAAATTTGATCTGGCAGCAGAATCGTCGAGCTTGTTCTGACTGACTTCCGAAGGGTTTACAGCCAGCTGCTGAAGACTCATGATCTCCAGCCTTGTATGCGAAGAGCAAGCAGATTGTTTCCAAGCTTCGTTTCCCCCGATCCACATAATCACCCAAGAACAAGTAATTTGCCTGGCAAGGCTGTGGCAAAGAAGTGTTAGGACTTGCGCAGCTCGACTGGATCGCCTGGGGCGGGTAGCCGATGGCATCAAAGATCCGGAGAAGGTCGTGATACCTGGGCTGGGTAGCTGGCTCCTTCATAAAGCGAAATCCAAGCTTCAGCTGCATTAAAAATGCATTCTAAGCCAGACACTGTCCGTGCACGTCCCCACACAGACCCAGCGGCGACTTGGTTGGAGCTATGTGCTTGAGGGCTGTATGCGCATGTGCCTGTTATCGCTGCAATAAACGAACTGAGGAAAGCTCATCCAGTTCCAAAAGCATCGGCTGAGAACGGAATATTGCCATTGCTGCATCGCATAGATTCCTTACGGTTTCCTGGCACAAGGTCGTCTGAATGGCTTGAAATCGAACACACCGTGCCCGACGCTGCCACAGCATGAGCACGATGCCACCTTCTAATGCCATCCCACAGGTACGCAGGCTCCCTGCACTACTTTAGCAACCCCAACTCTTCGCCAAAGCGGATGTTGTTTTCTTACATCTAGATATTGCAAAATACCCGGCTCTGCTTGTCATTGCACATCATGCACATATCTTCTCATGCCTCTGATAAAGAGACGATCTGACTGACCGGGCTCCTTCCAAGCATGCACTTGTTGAGGTCCCAATACGCTGACCACTACCAGGAACCCACGACAACAGCTCAAACATTCTCGTCCTACTGTATCTCTCTGGAAGCTGCCTCTGCCATGTGGAGCAAATGATGCCCAAGAGCATGACTTGTTGCGGTCACATACTTGCGCGGCTGAAGAAAAAGTAGCATAACAGTGCTCACTTCCACTTGGCTCAGCTCCTCTTCCGAACGTACAGGAGAGAGTCCAAGACTGAATCGACATCCAAATTGCCTGTTTCCTGCCAAGGCAGACCATGCTGAACGTGTATCAAGTGCGCAGTTCCGTGTCTGATGCCTCAGTTTTGCGCTTCTTTTGCGGTGGAGCCTTTTCGGCTTCTGTCATCGCGCACCGCGCGCTCCCTGGAAGCTGGGCACAATGTCCGAAAGCCGACAGAAGCTTACCCGAGCCAGATAACCTGCCCGTCGCCCAGCGCAGGGGGACTTCTTCTCTGCTTGAGCCCTTCGCGGCCAAAGGATACAAATCAAGACCTGCCCCTGACAGCAGCAGCATCAGTCTGTCAGTTCAAGCACTTTACGCAGCGTGCCCTGTGTGCAAGTTGCTGGTCTCAGCTCTCCATCACTTTCAGAAAGTACTGACACCAAGCTCAACACCTTCCTTCTGGCAGCTGTAAGTGTAGGTCTCAGTGACATGAGAAATCTCAAGTTCGTGCTAAACACTCTGTGGATGTAGGGGAACTGACTCCTCTGACTGACATGACTGTGGCCGCTGCTGTAGTTGCAAGCTGGCCAGCCTGATGCTTGAGCACGCAGGAGCAGAATTTCTGCAAGACATGACTTGGCCAAGGTGCTGGGTCTGAATAGTCCAGTGTCTCTGAAAAGTCCACAACGATTGCGCGGTCCCTGGATCAACGACTCTTTTCCAGTAAGTTTCCTAGTGAAACCCTGTATTATCTTGTGCTTGCGATGACAATGATGGCATTGCTGCTGGCCTACGTGAAGAGAAGCCAGTACCACCAAAGTAATTGATGGTAAGATCCCCAAGTACCTGCACGAAGCTCCACGAATGGTCGGCTGGACTCACAGGAATAACGAATGGAAAACAAAGCACGCCGCACCACTTCAACTTCGGCACTGACTACATTCTCAAGCACTAGATCCGCAGTCCCGTTGCTGACGTTCACCTCAGAATCACGATTAATCAAGGACTGGACTCGGTGGAACACAAGTTCGACCTGGCCAGCAATGGTGAAGATGTATGTCTCCAAGGCCTCCAACGCGAATGGTCTCACCTTTGGTCGCAGGACCGCTTTTCTTCAAGCATTCACAAGCATTTTGGAATGCATCGCTGCCATAGCTTCTAGGACCTTCACGTACAAAGATCGCGAAAACAGCCCCGATACAGACTCGAGGTTGATGCCGCTTCCCCACCTAGGCCAGAAACTGCACCACTGCAACTACTGGCGGCAAAGGGGGCTAGAGCGCCATAAAAGGTGGCTAAGGGCTTTGTCCAACTGCTCAAACAAAGGCTCCGGCGAGGTGCAACCCAGAATGCTGCCCTGCCTTAATGTCAGGAAAACATATCTTCTGGTCCTGGCCTCTTACAGAAATTTCGTGCCAAAGGCATGGGCAGCAGCACTGCTTCTGACCTGCGTTCGCTCAGGTCCTGCCTTCCTGCCTGTGGGCACAATTTCGCAACTTCCCTTTGCCTCTTGCAGGCTGTCCACGTATACTGCACGGCCCCGCGCCCCAGTGCTTGGGCGCACCTTGCAGCAAAACGAAGCAGGCAGCCACAATGGCTTTGTTGTCACATTCGGGAAGCTGCCCTTCCATGAAAATCTCCGACACCAGGCTTAGCGAACGCTCCACCTTCGACAGCGGTACTAAGGTCACATCTGCTCGTCCAAATTCATGCATGCAAGGCACCTTCAGCTTCCTCGAATAAGATCCGTATATGACCTGTTCCACTCTTACAATGAGCTTCGGCGCAAAGTGGCTACATTGCAGAACAATATCTGGCCATCGGGGGAACTGGTAGCGGTGACACTGCCACACCTGAGCTCTGGCAAGCTGACGAATCAAACACCACACGCGTCTTAGGCCCACTGCTGTAGTATGTTGTGTCTGAGAGCGCCGGGTTCCAGAATGATTGCACCTGCCACAGCAAGCACAGAGAGCTCATCTAGTTGCACTTGCCGAACGCCAGCTGTGTATCACTCAGTCTTCGGCGGTGAGTGAGAAGTTGTACCTTGTCAAGTCTGCTAGACTTTGTCCAGCTAGTCTGCGTACATGCTCAAGCGGCGCACAGCGTGTCGCCCTGCATTAGGTATGCAGGGATTCGAATGACCTGTGCCGCCACCTGGCAGTCACCAAAATGACATTGCATGCTTGGTTTCTGAGAGGCGTGATCGGAAACACATTTCTGGGAGAGTGGCAGGGGCTTCGGCTGCCATCGCCGACTCCAAGAGCTTTTGAAGCTGGCGGGTGTGAGGCTCAGGCCTCGTCTGCTTCAGCAAGGCACGAGCAGTTTATGATGGGGCTTGCATTGTAGATGGGCTGACCCTTGTACGAGCGCTTTCGGGCTCTGTCCTAAACATCCTTTCTGAGACTGTAAGATGCGCTGTCCACTTCGAAAAGCTTTGCCGGCCACTTTTCTGGCGTAGTGGAGTTCAAAGCCCATGTGAAGGCACCCCGAAAGCCTCCAAGTTGCTAACCACTCATGTCCTGCTACCAGAAGCAATTCACACTTTGCTGCTGGGCGAGCCGTGATCGCGGGATTGAGTGCCATCAAGTACCAATTCTGTGCACCTCCGCAAGTCACCGTTGCTAACATGTCGCGTTCCAAGCAGCCTACTAGGATCTGAGGCTTCTACACGTCGATGTATGACAGCCCTCCTACTTCGGCCTGAGATCCGCATGGCACATTCTGGTCCGCTGGTGGTTTACAAGCCTTCAACCCAACTTCTTGGCTGAGACGGCCACGCTTGGAGTTGGGATATCCAAAGGAGCTTCCACCTCGAAATCTGTACGACCAGAAGAGTGGACGAAGAAAGGAGCTGGGATCGGCACCACAGCAAAGTCTGAAGACGGCTGCGAGAATTGGTACACCTGTGCACACCAAGATCTTTAAGGCGGGTCCAGATCTAGTCGCTGTACCATCCGTACTGTAAGCCCGGAGCTCCAGACATAGTTTGCTGTCCCCTGTAGACCTGGCATACTAATCTAAACAAGAAACCACCTGCCGTGGGAACAGCATCGAATTTGGAAAAACATCAGGCTTGTACCGTCCCGGGCTTGATACGCGCAAGATCTCCGGGACGGATTGTCGACCTTGAGCAACAGATGCGACTGAAGGAAGGACAAGTTGAATCTGGACCTGTCTTAATGGCTGTAAGGCATCAGCGCTGGCTGTATCTCAACATAGAAGTCTGCATCTGTTGTCCACTGGCACCTGTGAGACTTTAAACAACATAGGCTGCAGGCGGCTCTTTGCTTTTTGAGGGAAGCACATACTCCCTGGGATCAAGATCATTGTGAAGCGGTCGATGAAGTTCTCACACGGCCCACGTGTGGCCTCTCATGAATGCAGACTGGATTCCGCTTGCAACTTCAGGTAGCACAGGAAAAAGCAGAGTCCAGCAGGCCTTGTCAGCCTCGTTGTAGAAGTCTGGAATATCATCCCCATTCGTGTCTATTGGGATCGCACCCCCTGCGACCACGAGGATTTCTCAAGCTCAGCATGAGGCGCACATGTAAGCCAAAGCTGAGGCAAGCACGCAGTGTGGCTGAGTCAAAGGACAAAAAGAGTTTAGTGCCAGCAGCATTGAACCTGCGCAAAGCAAGCACATCTGCTTCAATGTTGAGAATAGAAAACCTTCCACCCTCGAATGCCAGACCTTGCATACCGCAGCGCTGGAGGGTACAATGCGAAGATAATCCTTCCACTCTGCGATATTCAGAGTCATGCTCAAACAGCGGCAAGGATCATGATTCCCCAGCCGACGCAAAAGCATGACCCGTCTTTAGGAAATCTGCTGAGCACTCTCCTCGGAGCTGTCTGGATAAGGGATGAGAACACTGCGTTGTCAGGCAGGCTCTCCTCAATGTCCCAATGGCTGGGAATGGCTGGGCCAGCGGGATAAAGCATGAGGTGTTGAGAAGTAGCAGTGTCCTTCTTCCACAACACGTAGTCTTTGCCTTGGAAACGTGCAATTGCAGACGGCAGCCGTAGGCCGTATAGGCTGTAATCAGACAACAAAGTGCTGAGAATATGGGTATGCGGCTGTCATGCTTATACTCCAAGATCCTGGGAGTGCCCGTGGGCTGCTCCTTGAAGGTGAACCAAGCCTCAAGGACTGTGATGGCTTGCAATATCTTGCAATTCAGTTCTACCACAATGTGCGCGATGAGCAAGCTGACTCGGAGTACGACAAAAAGCTTTCATTGGCCTACATATGCCGGCGCACGCTGAGTGTCGCACGTAATTGTACTGGTGATCGATTGCGGCGGACTGCAAGTACATGTAGCTCACCTGCATTGCCAAACTCTCAACTGAGCGATGTTCATGCATGATCCCGAACGCTGAATCGGTGGCATGTCCATGTGCCTCTGAGGGCAATCCTCCTAGCTCTTCCAACTGGCAACCTGAGTTCAGAAAGCTATGCGGGCAGGAACACTGGATGCCAGCACAGCCTGTTACGCAGTTTGGGCTGCCGACCAACGAAAATCTGAACTGTGGTGACTCCCCCAACTGTTTGGGTCAAGTTGCTGGCAGTACCTCATCTTGAAACCAGTGCCATAAGCTTCCCAACTCAGAGAGGCCTGCCTGGTTGCCCCAAGGCCGCAACATAACTGATAGTATTTGTACTGGTCCGTCAAGTCCGCGCCTGCGAGGAAGGATTGGTCGCTCAAAGTTACAGGTGCTACAGCGCCTATCTTGCAGCCTGCACCATACAGCTGATGTGTCAGAGAATTCATCTGGAGGTTCATCATCGTTACGGGCATCGTGACACCTCAGAGAGGTGAGCGCAAAAAGCAGGAGGACTGCAGAAGCATCATGCAAAGACCCAGAGATACAAGAGCCACCACCCCCGCAAGCTGGCATCTGTCTGAGCACTGGGCTTGTAAGGACACGCCGCATGTCGATGTCAATGGCAACGACAACATGCACAACCTTCCGCACACACAACACAAAAGGAGTCAATGGACTGGTGACAAGCGAATGTGCCTGGGTAGCACCGACCCACGAAGCTGGAACCACCTGCGACAAATGGTTGCTGATCCATCTTCTCTTGACGGCGTTTATCCGGTGGTGGTCCAAATGTACGTTGAGAAAAATTCCTACACAATCTCGACATCCCTCTCAAACAACTACCCAATCCTGGTGCGCAACAACTCTGGCAGTGCTCAGCAGTCCCCGCCGTGTAGTATGTGCCAAACAGGATGTCCACCGTTCCGAGGCCTTCAACTGATGCCTGCCAAAGTGTACAGATCGCAGAACCAACTTGGATGCTGCTTGCATAGCTACCGCACCAGCCCATCTTGCACGAGCTGCCCGTTTGCCACAATCTGATCCTACGAGCAGCATTTGAGGTCAAATTTTGCACGCAAGAGCAAACTAAGTGACTTGCCTGAATTGGGAAATGGCTTTGGCGCACTTCAAGCCCAGCTGAGCCTTGCTGTTAAATGCAGCTGATCTTGCCATACCGTTGTTTTGGTACGCCCTCCGAGTGCTTGGGGTCGGGACTGGAGTTGAAGGTAACCTGTGCTTCAACTCAGGCAGCTTTCACGGGCTGGGCGTGCTCAATGTGCTCATAGACACGGCAGAGCAACTCAACACCCTTTGAGCCAAGCTGCCACCGTGAAGTCTAGCGTCCCGCCCCAGTCAGACAAAGACAGGGCCACCTTCCGATTGAGTCAGCGTTCAGCTTGATCAGCAGGCGCATGCCCTCAAGCGCAATCATTTCGGGCCGCGGCCATTCGACTCTTGCCGAAGTCCCAAACGGCATTGAAGACCATGCGACTGAGTCACAGAGCCATAGCACAAGCAAACGTCTGTGCGGACTGTTGCGCTGCAGCGTGTTACACTCAGAAGCGCGCTCAAGCCGAGTATCGTAATCGAATTGTGGGCGAGACTGGCGAGTAGCAGTAAGCAGCACACTTCAAGAATGCATCACAACTGGCAACCAGAATGATACAGAGTGGATTGCAGTGCGCATTTGAATCTGCAGACCGTGCTCCAACAGCCCCCACAAGATCATGCCTCCAAAGGGTTGACAGCGTGGATGTAATTCCTGCGAAGAACTGTACATAATACAGAACATTGAAAGAAGCTTGCTTCATCAGGCCTACCATTGCTTGGACTAAGGTGAGCACCGAAGTGGAGGGTCGGCAGGAGATGGCAGCCGTATCTGAGACAAGATCAAGCTCTTCCCCTTGTCAATGGAGTCGTTCGAAAGCCAACAAGATTGCTTCTGCTTGCTTGCATGCTTGCTTACATCCAATAGCCAGCATCCTCATGCGCCAGGCCATTAGGCCATGTCTGATTGCTGAGCTCGAAGCTGTGACAATGGAATACAGAAGCCGGCGAGTCACGTCATAAGTCGATGGCCTTGGCTCGTCCATTCCATTCCATTAGGGAGCTTAGCGTCTACAGGGCTTTCATGTCTACCAAGTACCAAGGGGGCAACGACATCGAGGACCTGTAGTCAAATTCTCTGTACACCTGGCAGCGCTTGCACAGTTGTGGAATGAGATGGAAGGAGGAAATTGTGAAGAGGGAATGCGCAAACGGCAGCGGCAGGAGAGGAAATGAGGGAGCGTTACCCAAGCTTGTGAAGCTTGGAATGCTGCCAGCCTGCCATGATGTCGGAGGGCATTCGCCCTGAACCTGAAAATTCCATGGCTGCAAAAGACTCACCTGCAGAATTCAGGATGCATGAGGCCTCGATCATTGGCAGTAGAGCCTCATTTAAACCACAGCGGCACATGGGAAGCCGAAGGTACGCCTGTTCTGCTCTGGGTTGCTGCGGACCGAAGTGCAGCTGAAAGAATTGCAACAGCCTGGCTCTTGTTGCAGAACTGCACGCATTCCGTGGCGGTGATCGACTCGCCGATGCCTGGCAAAGGTACTCACATGCCAGCGCTTCGAAGCAAAATCGGTCGCCGCAAACATGCGCAGCCCACGCTCAGCGTATGCTAGCGGACTTTCCTGTCACAAGGATTTGCACCGCGGGATTTGCACGAGTCTGAATTATGCAGGAGGTTGTGCTTGGATCTACTAAAAAGGACAGTTGAAATCTTCCAAAACATTTTCTTGCATGCTTTTGCCGAGGCCTCTAGCCATGAACACGTGTCACACATCCAGAATCGAATACAAAACAGGCTGTCCGTAGCTCATGAATTTCAGGCATCTAGTTGTCAGCAAGTCTGCATACACTGGCAACTGAAGGTATACTAAAGTTGCAATTCCCCCCTTCTTGTAGCTCATTAGATTGTCACAGGCAGTCTTCAGTCATCCTGCAAACCAAGAACCAAAATCTGACTGCCCAAAGTGTTTACCCCGTAGTAGCCACATTGGTGGTCAATCCCGTATAGTGCACCATCTGTTGTGGCTGGATCCACCGCATCGACCGAATGCAAAGCCACGACATTGCAAGATTATAAAAAAAAAAAAAAAAAAA